AATTTATATAGTTTATTCTTATTTACTAATTTATAGTTAATATACTGAGTAAGAATAGAGTTTGAAACCGAATTTCATTTTTGAATCTGATTTATTTAATTTGTAATACTTAAATTTGAATTGTTAAATTGAAATCCGAATTTATTCTAACAATTACTTTATTAATAAATAGCATTATTACATATGCACACATAAATCTAATAACAAAAACATTTGATTATTTAAGAACAAGAACTATTTCATCGTTATAGAAATTCTATAGGTGGGAATATTTTTTTCTCTATGGATTTGTATAGATAATGTGAGTATTGAGATTTAGTATATTTCGTTTAATATCTGAATTTAATTCGGTCCAAACTCTAAATAAGAAATCTAAAAACTTTGATCTTTTAAAGATAATGCGTACTGAAGAATAAATATTTTCCCAGACTATCAGTTTAGTAATAATCTTTATACTATCAATATTTATCTATTAAATGCGTGCTGCCAAAGGAAAACATGCATAAAAACCATTAAATTATCTTGAAACCAGGGCGTAAAATACCAACTTATTTACCGGCTATTCAGAAATCTCATTCTTGATTCAAATTATTTTAATTATTCTAATGCATCAAAAAAGATGCTTTAAACAATGGGCTGCATGACCAGTAAATGAGTTGGTATTTTACGCCTTGCTTGAAACCTATTAGATTATCGACTAACTATTTGCCTGAGCCTACATGTCATTTGATATCATTATTCTTACGAATATAGTGTTAATCAGGTTTTTGTATTATACATTTGGCACAGTAATCACTTTTCTGCCTATAGAAAGACTTTCGTACGATTGGCTGTTTAAGTTTATTTAATTTTACATTATTTATGCAATTTAGAGTACTTTTTTAAAAAAAATCAAACTATGAAGAATAAACAAAAGAGAAGTATATAAAAGTTTAATTAGGGTCATATAACTCTATCATTAAAAATAATCAAAATCATTTTTGGTTTTAGAGAAGTTGACATAATAGCGATATCTTAAAGTTAAATAGAATCAGGTTATTACATGCTAACTTCTTTAAAATAAAAAAGAATTTTGATGATTTTTAATAGTGGAGTTCTACAACCCTATTAAAACTTTCTATATACTTCTATTTTTCGTAGTTTAAATTTTTTTTTAAACGTACTTAAACTGTATAAATAATATAAAATTAAATAGACTTAAATAGTCAATCATACAAAAGCCTTTCTATGGCTTTTCTACACCAAACGTATTGTCAAACGACTTAACCCACTATAAAAAAATTTTGGGGACTAAATTTTTGTTTGCATAGTTCCTATATATTTATATATTAGGTTTAATATCAATTAAGTATTGGATTTATCACTATTTTCAAATTAGTGTTTCTAATAAATTTGGGAGTCCCATGAATTCTGCATGTTACAATTGATTTAACAATAGTATCATGCAGGGTTCATAGATTTCCAAAATTTATCATTATTGATTGCTGATCTATTACATTTATATTTTGAAAGATGTCTTTAATAAAAGGAGAAATTTATGTTTATATTGAATACTGATATTGATTAAGCACTAGATTTATTGCTTTTTTTGAATTAGCGCAATTAAGAAATTTCATGAATTTTATAAATTCTGTATATGATGATTGTTTTAACAATACTAATATACAACAATAGTAATATGCAGAATTCATAGAATTCACAAACTCATTGATTATACTAGTTTAAAAACAGCGATAAGAAAATTTTATAATGACAATTCTTTGTATATCAGTTAGAACTGTTTAACTATTTAGAATTGTCCTATACTCTGATTAGTAATGTGAACGCACATATATTGATGTATTAAATATTAGTAATAAAGCTTATATATAGGTGCATTAATTAAATAAATAGTAAACGCACATATATTAATGCATTAATTAATCAGTAATATATATTGATGCATTATGTATCAGTAATCAAAGATTGTGAATTTTCTGTTGGCAATACTTACATATAATATTAGCATGTAATTGTTTTTGGTAAACAATTGTATATATGCATTGATTTAATTGGTATCTTTATATAATACACAGTTTTCAAATCGCAGTTTTTATTGGCTAGATATTTTGATTGGCTGGTCAATTTCTGTATAAATTGTCAGCACGTAAATCTATACAATATGTTTTAGTTGCATGTATACTTGCACATGAGAATACGTTTAGCTGATCATGTTACATGTACATAAGAATATGTTTAGCTGATCATGCATAGAGTAAAGAGTATAATTGCAGAAACAAGAAAAAAGTTTCTTATTTCAAGCTAAAAAAACATTTGGCTCTATACTATAGGAATTATGAATACCATAATAAACAATGGTAAAAGCATGATTTTTATACTAATCTGATGCATATTTGCTTATCTATTCTCTGATTTTTAGCAATTTTCATTTTTCTTAGAATTTTTTATTGGATCGATGAAATGATAATCACTGATCGTCAAAGATGAGAATGAAAGAATTTGTTAATCGTTTGAATCAATGTAAGATTAATAGCTAATCATGAGCAATATGCCCCTGTGGCAGAAGCAAGGCTGAATTTGCACAATCAAGTTCAGGACTGAATTTGCACAATAAAATTCAGGTTTGAATTCGCATAATTAGAACTCATGAGTATAATCTAAATAACCTTCCATATACAGTAATTACTAACCTGAATTATGCAATCCTAACAACCGCTGTCTCAACTAAACAGACAACAATTCGCAACCAATTTTTTTGCAATGGAATCTACTATTTTCATAAGTGAAGATGTGGCACCACCAGGTGCCCCTATTGCATTACTTAGCTATTTTGAAACTGCGATAAAAAATATAGATTTTTAATTTTTTTTGGTAGTGTTAATTTAGTTAGTACTAAAAACCTGTTTGTTTCTAAACATGAAATTTCTAAAAATCAAAAATTACAGGTTTAGCTTCGCTGCACTTAAATTAGTATATTATTGCTAATATTTTTGTGTATTAACCAGTCAATTTGAAAATCTATAAAAATAAAGTTATAACGGAATTTTGCTAAAGTCTTAAAATTGACACACTCGCAAACAGCTTTCTCACTTTGCAAAATGGAACAAGGTAATTTTGTAGTATTTTAATATAATTTTTTTTATTTTAATTTAATGTTTATTTTAAAGGGCGTGTTACAAGAAGTACCTCTAAAGAACAATTAGCATTAACTATTGAAAGTTTGAAAGAACGAATTAAAGAACTAGAAACTGATTTACAAATTTCTAATGATGCAAATATGAAATTAATAGAAGATAATAGAAATATGCTTGCTGTAAATCAAAATTTGAGTGAACAACTTCAAACTTTAACTGATGAAACTTTAACTGATGAAGTGAGTATTAAAATTTGTATTACATATTACTTTATCAACTCTAATTTGATAAACACAATACTTTCCCAACAATCAATTACTGCAAGTTTATTCTATAGACAATTTTTTCACTAATAGCTTATTTCAAAGAAAAGTTTTTTTTATACAAATTACACTAACCTTAACTCTAGTTTTAAACTAACCTTAATAACAATAATTCAATTACTTTGTGAAATAAGCTATTAGTAAAAAATCTGTTTACAAAATAAGAATTAGAAAAATAAACTGTCTATGATATGAACTTGTTAGTGAATTGATTATTTGCAAAATAAATATATTTATGAATCGACTGTATATTAAGTATTATGTTTATAAAAATAATATGAGAAGCTGCCAATAAAGTAACAGAGCGATCAATATTGTGCGATCAGATGACTTTATAGTTTATCGCTTTTTTCTATTTGCTACCTAATCTTTTATAGTTATTCTTCGTTATAGTAATTGTTCTCTTTGATATTTTGTATGTGCAAGTTATTAAGATGATTTTATATAATTATTTGAAATTCGAATCACTTTGTTTACTAGTTATTTGGCAAGAAGGGAGAAAGAGATAGTGGTCATGTAGGATTATGAGATATCGCTTTTCTTATATGTACAAGGATCATAATGAGGTATAATTTTTTTACATTAATATCTAACAAATATATTTGATTCTCTTCATAGTTATTTGATTTTTTCAACCATCCCTTATATAAGACTTGTTGAAGTAATTAAGCTGTCTGCCAGATCTCTTTCTCCTATCTGATGCCTGGTTTACTGTTCGTATTTAATAAGGGTTTTATTGTATACTTTTTATACAAGTAACAGCTATTTTTATGTATCTTATTGGGTCATTTCTAATACATAATATACAAAACTTGCCCACCATCTATCAGAGGTAAGCAAACTTTTGGTGTTAGGCCGCTTGCAGTTGATTCATCAGTTAATATCACCCCAGTTGAAGTTTCCCTCTGAAAAATGAACAACCAATCAAAATGCTGGATAGCTCTTACCGATCACTTGATTTACATTGACCAATGAAATTGGCCCATATCTGTTCATTTTTATATAGAAAGTGATGTTAACCGAAGAATCAACTTTGAATGGCCTTACATTTAGAATTGATCTAATGAATACAGAAAATTGATTTAGTTACAGCAGATACTACATTATAATGGTGGCCAAAGGCCACTGTTATATCTCAGCATTCTAGTGAATAGTCAGTTATCATCGGTAACATAACCAATAACAAGTACGTATTAAGTTGGCGTTCAGAGTTGTAAGCACTTACAATTATTTATACTAGCTTTAGTATAGAGCCTGCAAAAAGATAGTGGACCCTACTCCCATATGTTTTTAGCTTTGTTTTAAATTAATCATCTGATCGAGCAATAATAACTAGTGAAAATAATAGAATTAAACATTTAGAATAAGTTTTATTGTATTAATATTTTTTATTTAAATACTACTGTATTAATTAAAAGGAAGAAAGTGAAGAAATTACAGCAAAAGAAAAAAAAAAGAAGAAAGGTAAGAAAAAAAAGCAAGAAATTAATATGTTTTCATGGAGAAATGGAGTTGAAAAGATAAAGCAAATTCTGTTCTAGCAATTCTTGTGAAGATTCGCTCTAATGAACCAGAAAAAATCCAAATTGATGATCTAAAAGATGAGTATAATAAGTCTTTAGACAAAGAAAAATATATTAACCAAATTGAAAAGGTGTTATTTAATGGAAAAAAAAATGGCAAGAAAGAAGAAAATTTAAATATTTTATTTTAAGAGAATATGTTAAACTATCTGATGTTGATTCATTACCATATTTTCAACAATGTTTTACTACGACTTATGAAAGAGTTGCGACTCTTCATGAAATGATTGGAATACATTTAAATGCGCTTCCCTTTTCTGTAGCGTAGTTTACTACAAGAAATAGTAAGTTTATAATTTTATTAAAATTATATTATTTTTAGATAATTTAATTTGTTACACAGCTCCTAATCATTTACTCATGATTTTTACTGATATTTTGTGGTTGATATTTTCATGGCTGATATTTTTATGGTAAACTTTTTTTCTATAGATTTTTAGATTGTATTAGAGAAATTTTATAAAAAAAAAAGTTTATTTTTTGTTGTAAAGAAAAGCCATGAAAATTCTTGTAAAATAACAGTTATAAGGTCATGTCATGGGTGTTATGTTCTGTGTAACAAATCGGTTATTAATCATATTCATTGTAAACTTTATTAAATATCCTGAATCAGTCTTGATGCCTCGATATTATGCATTATTGTGGCTATGCCACAGTGCTGCTTATTATCTACCTGACTTGTAAAGTTTAACAATATCTATTATAAAACATATAATAACTATTATATTTTATTTTCAGATAAGGTTGAAAGTCTTGAATCATTAATTAAATATTTCAAATATGGAAAAGATTGTAAGATTCAAACTAATATTATTTTTATGATATTTTATTCAAACTAACATAAGATATTATGCAATTAGGTAATGATGATGAATTTAAAGACTTTATTAATGCTTAAAATTTTTATTTTTTGGTTATATTTGATAAAGCTAGAAATACAACTGATTTAACTTCGATCTTTATTATTTGCAATCTAAGTTTTATTATATAAATTTACTGTATTTCATTATTTTTATTATTTTAAAATAAAATAGAATATCGAGATTACTTTTATCTAATAAGGGTAGCTGCGTGATGATGCCGCAGAACCAGTACTATCATGTTAATATGTAAATTCGGACTATTGATAAAGGATTTTAATACTCATTAAACAAATAAAACTTAGAAATATAACGAGAAACAACAACTTATTCATTCTTAAAATGTGATTCATGGCCAATATGCCTTCTAACAAAGAATAGTAAACATATAAAAGTTCTTTTAAAAGACAAATCTCAGACTGTACTCTTATTAACAAAAATTCAACTTACTGGTAAACAAAACTTATTAGCTATACTGATTTGTGGCATCACTCGATACAGACCACCTAATAAGCAATATATAGAATTTTTACATGTATGCAAGCTTTATTATTGATCACAAATTTTAACTTTCATAATACTCATTAGAAAATATTTCAATACATTATAATCTACTAGCTAGTCATAAATCAAATAAATAGATTTTGCAACATGGGAAATTAATAGAAGAAAAAAGGAAGTGGTCCAAAATATTAGCTGATTTAAATTATCAGAAAATTATGTTTTTAGTCACGAGTTAAAAAGTATTCTAAATTATAAAACGTTCCTTTAAAAATATATTATAATGTTCCATTAAAATTATATCATATAAATAAGCTCAAAATGTTTTTTTAACAATAACAACACCATTAACTTTAATTCTTTCGCCACTTGACGATGTAATTAATGCGTGCCGTAAGAAGCGTCAATAATGTCGAATCTCCCGTCGATTGCTTAAACTTGTCAACATTTTGTTACAAGTAAGTTAAACATATAATTTTTAATAATAATTAATAATTACTATTTATTTCTTATTAAAAATAACTCACTTCTCATATAATTTTCAGATATGTTGCTAGTCAATTCGAAGCACATTATCATAAAATAAACATAGCTGAATTTACTAAAGAGTTGGCTTGAGACTTTAAAAACATGGCAAAAACATTAGGCTTAGATTACGTTATTGATATTCCAAATTCAGAGAATTAATCAGGTTGTAGATAATAGCATTTATTTAGATCCTGATATATACGAAACAATTATATTTAACCTTTTTAGGCATTTCTTAAAAAATATCCTATTCGTTAAAACGTGAAAAGTTTTTATATTAAGATGTTTTGTTTGCTAAATGTTCGAATGCACTAAAACATACATGGAATGGGCGTATTACTGTCCACTTATATATTGACTAGAAAAAGATGGTAGTTCTTGAAGTGTTTGATACAGATTAATAATAGTCCTTATGAAACTTATTATTCTAGACAATTATTTGAAGTGCATAATAAGTATATTTTATGTATTAATCTCAATTTTGAATTAATTCAGGTGTTGATATACCTGAAACCGCACTTTCACACAAATTTCAGCACTTTTATCGCGTAGAATCTCAAAGTTCACGTAGTTATGAAGGTACCAGAATAGGACTTGCACTCATTAAAGAACTTGTAATATCCCATAGTGGAGATATTACTGTAACATCAGTAGTAAATAAAGGATCGACATTTAAATGTTGGTTTCCAAAAGGATATAAGCACTTGCCAACAAACCAAATATATTCTTGTTATTATATAGGTATGTAGTGAATAACCGTGACTGAAGGCCACAGGTTATTCATATACTCATATAATAACTATATTATTTCACGGTGTCTGATGTACAATCCCGTGTAATAACCAAATAAAAAAGCACAGGTTGCTATATAAGACCTGTGGAATAAATTTTGATATTGAAAACCCTATAAATTGTGATTACACTAATCGGCAACTTTATTTAGAAGAATGTTCTCAATGGACAAAAGATAATACATCTGAAGCCAAAAATGATATAATGAATCAATTGCCAATTGATTATAATGATAGAACCTCAATAAAAAAATTCTTATTTCTTTTACCCGCAAATAATCCTGTTTTTGGAAAAAAATATCAAGTCTTACTTGTTGATAATAATAATAATATGCGGTAATAATTTATTTATCCAATTAATTTATACTTTTAAACTGTTTCTTATTATTATTGGGTATATGTATAGAGATTACCTCGCAGACTTTTTAAAAGAATTTGATATTCTTCATGCTTGTGAAGTTTTTAAAAAATTTGATAAATCACCTAATTTAATTCTCAGTGGCAAGTATATATTGCTTCTTTCAATTATATATATATATTATTTATAATAAATAATGAATTACATAATTTGAATTTAGTAGATATTATGATGCCAAATATGAATGGATTTGAGTTATTAGATGTATTAAGATCAAATATAAAGACTCAATTTATTCTAATAAATTATTGTCTGCAGAAAATGGTGAAGATTCTAAAATTAAAGGTAATTTAATATATTAGGTCAATCTATTTTCACTATCTAATTTTTGTATTTAATACATCAACTTTTTTAATTCAGGTCTAGATAAAGGTGCAGATGATTATTTAGTAAAATCATTCTCTGCTCGTGTAATCTTGAGTTATCAATTCTTCGTCATAAAATAATATGTCAAAGAACTGAACAAAAAAAAACAAAGTAATTATTATCTCCAATCTCAACTAAAATATTTTCTGGATCAAGTATAAAAGAAACATTACAATATATTGTTAAAGAAATCTGTTATAGATTACCATATAAAAAAATCTTAATTATTTCAAATAAACAATCTGAATTCAAGAGTGATAGTATAATTGCCTTATATAAACAAGGCACTTGATATATTCTAAGGAGTTATATTATAAATACAGTAATATTATTTGGGTTTAAATTTATTTTATATTTAATATCTAGGTATTTGCAATGCATATAGAAGATGCAAACATTTATTATATTACTAATTAATTAAATATTAATATATAATTATTTAGTTAATATATCTATATATATAAGCTTTTATTACTAATATTTAAATGTATTAATTTTTATTTAATTAATGTACCTATATTTAAGTTTTTGTTACTAATATTTAATGCATCAATATAGTTTTTTTTTTTTTTAATATTAATGGTGAGGCCATGCCTCTAACTTTATTGAATATTTAATTGAGATTATAACATAAA